ACACACACACACACACACACACACACACACACACACACACACACACAGGGAGAACCTGAAAACTGTACACTTGTTTTTATTTACTATTTCCCAACTTTTGAAAGACCCTTCATACTTTTTATTTTATATTGATAGGTCAAATCTTTTTATTTTGGGGAATTGTAAATGTAAATACGTCAATTTCCAGTTCATTACTAAAGAGAAAAAAACCTATATCTTTGTGTGGTGTCTTTTAATTGCCTTTTTCCACTCCCCCCAGGGCCTAGAGTCTCTTATTTTATAGCCTATTGAACCTGAACTATCATTGACGTGAACATACTCAGTAGTGGGTTACATGTAATTAAAGTTTCCTTTAGGAAGAGATCCAGAAACGCTACAGGGGACAAAGTTATCTTTATTTTCTGAGGTCGATAAACTCCATCAGATGTATTTTGCATTTCTCTCACCAGTGTGTGAATGTCTATTGTGTCAAACCTGCAAAATCGCATTAAACGGCGCCTGTTTGTGGCAACATTTTCACCTCATTAAATGTTTCCAGGTTGCTGATTTCAACATTTCGGGCTGCTGCCTCTCTTAGACTTGGAGCGTAATGTTGTTCTTGCTCAGTTTCCAGCCGGCTGCCTTTTAAAGTCCTCCGATTCACAGCTACACAAACTGTGAATAGTGGCTAACCTTTGGATGTTCTTACAGCAGGTGTGCAGCAAGATAAGAGATCAGCGAGTTTCTGCTGACCTCGCCTCGACACTGGATCCATTTCATTTAGTTATTAACACAAAATTCATTGGTGTGAAGAACCTAGGGACGTCCCCATCCAGCTTTTTTATCCCGATCCCGGCCTATCAAAGCATGTGTTAAAGTTTAAAGTTATTTATCTACTTACTTAGTTGTCAGACTCATGTTGAACAGGGATTTACTCCGATAACAACTTAATGGTTAGGACACAGAACTGTGGGTTACAGATGCTAATGCTAATGCTCGTGTGGGATTGGACTGGAATTGGAAAAATTGGACTGGATTGGAAAAAACTGGATCTGGAGTCTGGATCTGTATTTTGTCCTGCCGGCCGATACGATCCAGATATCGGATCGGGACCAGCCTAGAATAAACTTTTTTCCCCCTTTTTTTCTGATCTAGATATCAGAATCAGAAATACTTTAATATTTACTAGCTCCATAAATAAAACATCTGATCAGGACCAGCCTAAAATAACCTGCCTGTGTGGTAAATACTACACAAATCAGACAGGAAACTCTCTTCCGAATGTGCCTTTGGCATGTGTGGTATTTTGATGAATAAACACAGAAATGTGTGACTGTTTGGTGGCTCTAGGACATGAACCGGTGCTATAGGAGCCCTGTACCTGGACCCGGGCCCGGACCACGTCCATGGGGTTGAACAGGGATTTACTCTGATAACAACTTAATCATTAGGACATAGACCTGTGGGTTAGGAGATGCTAATGCTAATGCTAATGTGGGATCGGACTTTTTAAAAAAAATGGATCTGGAGTCTGGATCTGCATTTTCTCCTGCCGGCCGATACGATCCAGATATCGGATCGGGACCAGCCTAGAATAAACCTTTTTCCCCCTTTTTTTCTGATCTAGATATCAGAATCAGAAATACTTTCATATATACTAGCTCCATAAATAAAACATCTGATCAGGACCAGCCTAGAATAACCTGCCTGTGTGGTAAATACTACACAAATCAGACAGGAAACTCTTCTGAATGTGCCTTTGGCATGTGTGGTATTTTGATGAATAAACACAGAAATGCGTCCAAGAAAAATAGGAAGAATATTGTTTTTTTTTAGTCTGAAGTCTTTCTTTGGCCCCTCAACAACACATGAAGAAAAAAAACTGAAATTATTTTGATCAAATTAGCGTGCAATAATGGGCCGCAGCGTAGCCTAATGGCTAGAGCGGGCGGCCCATATTCAGAGCCTTTGCTCGCAAGCGGGCGGCCTGGGTTTGATTCCAGCCCATGGCCCTTTCCCGCAGGTCTCCCCCTCTCTATCTCT